AGAAGAAGAAGAGGAAGAAAGATGAAGATTAAAAAAAAGACAAACAAAGGAAGAAGAGGATGAGGGAGTAAAACAACAAAAACAAGAAGGAAAACAGACAAACAAACAAAACACAAAAAACAAAACGACGAACGGCAGTGAAAACTTAAATCAAAACATTTCATCAAAATCCTCGTCTTTATCCTCACCATCATCCTCGTAAATCACCATTATCATTATTTCCCAGCAGGTAATTCCTAAAAAAAGGGATTAATCATAAACAATAAGAAAGTAATTCTGATTTAAAACCAAGTTAATTTAAAAAAAAATCTTATCTGCGTATTTAAGGTTCGAAGCCGATAAAAAAAAAAATAATAAATTATTAAGAAAGTAGGAAAGTAGGGCGAAGAGATAAGCAGATAAGAAATAAAGTGACGATAAATTTAAAACAGACAGATAATCCTATAAACAAGAATGGAGAGATGGTGATAAAATCCGATAAATATTAATAGGCAGCTAATCCCAAAATCCGGATGAATTTAGATGAAAGACAACAAAATATTTCCGAGATTTTGCCTTTGATTTTCTACGAGATGTTGGGACAAGGTGACGCTTTCTCTATGGTTGTCTCTCTCCCTTTCTCTCTTTCTCTATTTTTCTCTCTCTCTCTCTTTATTTTTTCGATCTCATTTGCGGTTTTAAGTCAGTTTCTTTCTGTATTTGTGTTTTTTTTTTATCTGACTCGGTGTCTCAGTTTCTTTCTTTCTCTCTCTCTCTCTCTCTCTCTCTCTCTCTCTCTCTCTCTCTCTCTCTCTCTCTCTCTCTCTCTTTCTCTCTCTCTCTCTCTCTCCAACTCATTCTTTCTCTCCTCCTTCCTTCCTCCTTTCTTCTCATTCCTCCTTTTTCCTCCGTTTCCCTTTAGCCTTCTCACCTCTAACCACCCTCTTCCTCCACCCCACCCCACCTCCCCCTCCACCCCCTTCCCCTTCTTCCTTCCCCTCCCCCCTCTTCCTCCACCCCCCCTCGCGCCCAGAAAGCAGGAAATACTCCACTTGCATCTCGCTCCACTTCGGCGCCCAAGTGGATGAAGGAGGCGGCGGCGGGCGATGCCATATCGGTCGTGGCGCCCTCTGGCTCCCCTGGCTTCGCTGCCCTCCTTCGGGATGCAAGGCCTTCGTGGAAAAGTCCCTCCTTCTCCTCCCTCCCCCTCCGGACGTCATCCTTCCTTCCCCCCCCCCCCCCATCTAGACGTCCTCCCTCCCTCCCCCCCCCTCCAGACGTCTTCCCTCCCTCCCTCCCTCCCTGCCTTCCCTCCTCCAGACATCTTCCCTCCCTCCCTCCCTCCCTTCCCTCCTCTTCCCTCCCCTCCCCCCGCGGCGGAATCAGTACGTGTAAACGTGAATAAACAAGGCTGGATTCTGTTTACTTTCCTAAGATCCTTTTTCCTTCTTATTTCTTTTTTATATATTTTTTTTTATGCTATTACGTTTCTTCTTTTTTTTATTCTCTCGTGTACGCTCTCCCCTTTCTTTCTCGCGTTTCTTCTTCTCTTTCTCCTTTCCTTCTGCTTCTACTCTGTCTTCCTATTTTTTTCTACTATTTTTTTCTCCATGTCCTCTTTTCTCCTCAGCTATCTTCCTTCTCTCTCTCCTCCTTTTTTTCTCTTCTGTCCCCCTTTCCTCCTCCTATTCTATTCCCTTCTTCCTTCTCGCTCTCCTTTTCTTCCTATTCTTCCTCTATCTTCTTCTATTTCTTCCTCCGTCTTCTTTGTTTTTCTTCTTCCTCCTCCTCCACTTTCTCCATCTCTTTTCCTTCTCTTTCCCCTTCTTCTTTTTCCTTCTTCTTTTCCCCTTCTCCTCTTCTCCCTCCCTGTCTCCCCCTCCCCAAATATCCCCAACATCACCCCACCGCCGCCCCCTTCCCTCCCTCCCTCCCCCCTTCCCTTCCTCCCTCCCTCCCTCCCTCCCCCTCCATCTCCCTCTCCTCTTCCCTATCTCTCTATCTCCCGCCATCCACTCTAGACAACACACGATAAATCCCGCTCAATAATAATAACAACACAAAAAAAAAGAAAAAAGAAAAAGGAAAAAGAAAAAAGAAAAAAAAAGGAAAGAAAAAAGAAAAAACAAGAGAGAGAGAGAGAGATTGCACGACCGCTATCGGTACTTCACGAGCTTATAAAGTTTTATGGCGCGTGATCGGTCGCTGTTGTACGTCGATGAGGAGGATGGTGATGATGGTGATGTTGCGTCATCGTGGGGGGGGGGGGTAGGGGGTGGGGGAGGAGGGGAGGGGGGGAGGAGGGAGTGGCGATTGGTTCCTGGGGGCGTGGTGGTGCTTTCTAGGGGGGCGTGGCGATGCTTTCTGGGGGCGTGGTGGTGCTTTCTAGGGGGCGTGGCGATGCTTTCTGGGGGCGTGGTGATGTGTTTTGGGGGCTTGTCGATGGGAGGAAGGGGGTGGGTGTCGGAGATTGACCTGAGGGCGTGTCAATTACAGAGCGAAAGGCGATCGAAGTCAGAGGTCGAGGGGGGAGGAGGAAGAAGGAAGAGGGAGGAAGAGGAGGAGGAGGAGGAAGGAGGAGGAGGAAGGAGGAGGAGAAG